AGTGGCCACTCCCAGCCACCGCAGCCTCGACTGCTGGGCTCCGGCGATCCTTCCGCCTCAGCCTTCCAAGTAGCCGGAATTACAGGCATGCGCTACCATGCCTGGCTGGTTTTTTGATTTATGGTAGAGATGAGGTCTCGCTGCCCAGGCGGGTCTCGAACCCGCAGGCTCAGGCAGTCCACTCACCTCAGCCTCCCAAAGGCGCGGGATTACAGGCTGAGCCACCGAGCCCGGCTGCCAGTTTCTTATGTAAAAAGAATGGTGACTCTTATAAGCAATAGCTTCTTGGGGCTCATGAAGTAAATTGTCTTAAGTGGAAATATCTTAAATCCATTATACTCTTCCTACCGTCTTTAACAGAATATGTTAGCCAGTTTTTCTTCTGGCCCTAAGGTCGGTTTTTATTAATGAGAGTTCACCTATGTTGACTCTGGTGGGTATAGGCTTTGGAGGCAAGCAGACTTGATTGTTGATTCTTGGCTTTGCTGCTCTTTATTAGCTGTATAACCTTGGTCAAGTTCCTTGACCTCCCAAAAGCTGTTTCTTCATTAGTAAAATGAGAATCATGTTAACAAATGTGAATAAATATAACTTAATTGGTCTTAGTTTTAATTCACTGTGAAGAAAAAGAAGAATCAAAGTATGAACTTAAAAATCTTTTCTCTTGCTAACCAAAAGCATGTAATATGCTGGTACTATACATTGAGAAGGTCCTTTTAAATATTTAATCCAAATGAGAATATACAAAGGTAGATGTGTTCCTAAGGTTTGAAAACATGTATTTGATTTTACAGGATGATGTTTTAAGGTTATGTTGTTGTTTTTCCATGTTGGAGTCTCACTCCGTCGCCCAGGCTGGAATGCAGTACATGCTCACAGCCACCCCAGTGTCGACCTGCTGGGCCTTCCAAGTAGCCAGAACTCCAGGCACGTACTACCACACCCAGCTAGTCTTTTTCTTTTTCTGGTTTATTATAGAGATGAGGTCTCACCAGGTTGCCCAGGCTGGTCTCAAACCCATGCACTCAGGCAATCTGCTCACCTCAGCCTCCCAAAGTGCTGAGATTACAGGCCTGAGCCACCACGCCCGGCCTGTTGTTGTTTTTTTATACTTTGCAAACATGAAACATTTTCTTACGTTTAACTCCAAGATAGGAATGCAAGCATAGCTTGTCATCTGTGTATTTCCTTTTCTAGGAAGTCATCCCAACTTTTGACATGGCTGTCAATGAGATCTTCTTTGACCGTTACCCTGACTCAATCTTAGAACATCAGATTCAAGTAAGACCATTCAATGCATTGAAGACTAAGAACATGAGAAACCTGAATCCAGAAGGTAATGTACTAAATAGTGTTCTTTTCATGTGAGGAAATGCCATGCGTAAAAATAAACAACCTTATGTCATCAAGGAAATATAAAAGATGAGGTGGTGATAGCAGCAGTGATGATGATGGTGAAAGTTGACAAAATAATACGCTTTTAGTAATTCTATACACTTGAGAACCTGGTATAGCTTTTAACTAAACTGAACTTTTTTTTGAGTTGGAGTCTCTCACTGTCGCCCAGACTGGAGTGCAGTGGCTGCTCCCGGCCACCGCAGCCTCGACCTGCTGGGCTCAGGTGATCCTTCGCCTCAGCCTTCCAAGTAGCTGGAA